AATTACCTTGCCTTGAATCCACCTAACAAACATAGAATAGTCTGAAGAGGTCTGAGAGTATCCATTCTTCATTAAGGCACTGGTCAGCTTGGAAAACCATTGCATGCTGGCTTGTTTGAGCCCATATAAAGACTTCTTAAGTCTATAGACAAGACCCTGATCTCTAGGGACATTGGCACCAGAAGGAATCTCCAGATAAACTTCATCCTCTAAATCTTCATGGAGAAATGCATTGGACACATCCATCTGGTGGAAGTGCCAATCCTTAGAAGCAGCCACAGCTAACAGACTCTTAACTGAGTTAATCTTGGCCACTGGTGAGTAAGTATCCAGAAAATCAATACCATAAATTTGTGTAAACCCATTAGCCACTACTTTGGACTTAAAACTTTCAATAGTCGCATCAGATTTGTGTTTGATCTTGAAAACCCATTTGGATCCCACAACCTTCTTACCTTTTGGCAATTTCACAACTTCCCAAGTCTGATTTTCTTCCAATGCTGCCAATTCTTCATTACATGCTTGATTCCACCTAGGATCTTTGAAAGCTTCAACATAGGAAGTAGGTTCTTCATTCATCATGACATTCATGGCAAAAGACCTTTGAGAAGGAGTCTAACTATTCTTAGGAGAAATGCTGCCAGGCATGGTGTTTTGAGCAAGAACCAGCTATATTAACATGATAGTCTTTGTGCCATACTGGGATAGTACGAGTCCAACCGAGGAACCTCAAGAGTTGGAACAGTGGGAGTAGATTGGGGTGAAGGTAAAGGTGAAGAAGAGGAACTAGGGGCATTTTAAGAAGAAGAAGAAGAAGAAGAAGAAGAAGAAGAAGGAATGGTAGAAGAAGGAAAAGGATTTGGAAGAGGGGGTAAAACTGGAGAAATGGGATCTGAAATGAGAGTAGAAGGTTCGGAAGTAAAAGAAGAAGTGTGAAAGGGGAATATAGACTCATAGAAAGTGACATCACGTGAGTCAAAGAAGGTATGAGAGTTGAGGTCATAGAGTTTGAAGCCTTTGATGCCAGGATGGAAGCCATGAAAGATACATTGTCGAGCTCTAATATCAAACTTAGTTCTGTCTCGATGTAGAGTGGCAGCATAGCATAAAGAACCAAAAGTCATTAGACTAGATAAACTAGGTGGTTTGTGATATAGAGATTCATAAGGTGATTTGTTCCCAAGAACAGAATTTGGAATACGGTTGATGAGATACACAACATGTAGGACACAATCACTCCAGAATTGGATGGAACTCCTGATTGGAATCTGAGTGATCAGGCTACATTTAAAATGTGTTGGTGTTTCCTCTCAATTCATGGCATTTTGTTCAGGGGTTTCAACACAGGACAATTGGTGTTCCATCCCTTGGGATGCATAAAAATCAACCATATGAAACTCATTCTTTGATCACTACGAATGACCTTAACTTGCTTTTAAAACTGTTTAGAAACCATCACACAGAATGACTCTAACAATTTACTAGCTTCTGACTTGTACTTCATAAGATAGGTGACTTGCTCCGAATATCACAATAAAATCCCACCTAAGGCCCAAGTATAAACCTTAGATGGGTGCAATATAGGACAAGTATGTTTAAATATCAATCCAAGCCGGCCCATGTACCCCCACTTCAATTGTTTGAAACATTATCTAGCGGAATGTTGTTTGTTGAAATCTCTACAATCTACTATTTAAAAGCAAGACTTGAAAAGTAAAAGGGTGGAAAATTCTTGGTGAGAAGCTTCACTCAGGAGTTGCTTCCTCCTAACTACCTACCATGAATCGTGGGATCGAATGCCTCGGTGTGTGACAAGGAAATTTTGACCCGTAGGAGGTGCAACGATGGTTAGAAACCATCCTCTCAATTGTTAGGCCAAGGAAAGCATTGGCAGCTACAATTGTAGCCCTCTTCGCTCAAGCAATTGGAGGTTGGCTTACCTTCTCCCTCAAACCAAGGTTTGGACGGCATAATCACAATTAACCTAGGTGTCTAATTCAAGTAGAGGTTTGCCCTTCATTAACCTAGCTAGGATGCATGGAATGCCTAAGAAAACCCAGCTCAATTTGAGCCTCTTAAGATAAGGGGGCTTCTCTCTAAGCTAGGTTAGAATAACACAATAGATTGCCAAGCACACACAATGTACAATCACCATGAAAAATATCTCAATTCTTAAATTAAACACCACCATCACACAATCATTCAATCCACACAATTAATTACATGATAGAAGTTAGGGTTCTACAACACCCAAGTGAAAAGGGGAACTACTCCATGCTAGACAAAGGAAGAACACAAAGGATGAAGAAGGAAACCATCATTGTGATGCCTCGAACTCTCCTTCTGCTTGTAGAGATCCTCTCTTAAAGAGGAACTTCCAAAATGTTCACTTGGAGCAAACCTTAGCCTCTTCACCCTCTTGGTTCGTGCTTTCTCTCTCTAGGGTTTCAAGAACAAGAAGGTTTCTCTCACTTTGGGCTTTCCCTTCTTCTTCCTTTCAGCTCTCAATTTATAGTCAGATCGTGCCCAGTTCATGGTCCCAGTTCACGGTCGTGAACATCAGGCCTGGACCGCGAACACAGATCAAAAAGCGCATCTTCACTTAAGGTGTTCACGGTCTTAGCGACCGTGAACTGCCATGGTGTTAGTAACCTCTGAAACCCCTCTAGGCGCTTCGCGGTTCATGGTTTGTGGTTCCAGTTCACAGTCCTGGCGACCGTGAACTCCAATGTTTGACCACGAACTGTGGCTGAATCCTCCTCTTTGCCCGGTCTTTGCACATTTTCTTCCAACTTTCGACTCTGGGGTTGTTTCACTTGTTAGACTTTGAAATACAATGAAACACAAGAAAACTTGCTTAAAACCTCCCTTTTAGGAGCTCAAATGCCGCGAACTTCAAAGAGAAACGGGGATTAAAAGTGTACATTTAGGCCCGAATCACTCCCCCACACTTAGGCATTTGCTTGTCCCCAACCAAACCATTTCACACAAGGAAATATCTCAACCTAATAAAATAACTTGGGGACAAATAAAAGGGCACAAAATAAAGAATCTCAATGGCTATTGGCAATTAACACATGGACTGCTGCAAGTAGTACCGGCATCCGCCACAAACGACATTCAAGGTCACCAAAAATGGGCAAACGAAAAGTTCTCACCTTGTTCATGAATTAATGCAAGTCTCAACAAGATCACTTATCATGCATAACATTCAAGTCCAAGGAACAAACAAATGGGCAAAAAAGGTACTCACGGGGTATGATATGACATGCAAAACAAGAATGAATCACTCACTCTCTTGACCAGTGGGGTCGGCACCTTTTCTTGCAAAGAATGTGCACAATCATTAACACTCGGCCCTATCGTCTCTTTTTGGGTGGTGAAAAACACAACATGAGGTCCTACATCTTCACCCTAAACCCGAAGGTTCTATGGTTTCGACTAAGGACCTTCCTTACAAACAATGGCCACTAGCATCGGTCAAAAACCTTATTTCTCCCTTACAAACTATCACCCATAATGAACTACATTTAAGCGCTCTTCCACGGTCTACTCTTGCTATCACATTTTGACATGGTAGTGAAGGAGTTCAACAACAATGTGGGGGTTTCAATGGCTTGAGTGCCAAGAAACCCCTACTAGAGCATATTTGATATTTGTGGCACTCTCTATTTTATTTATCCTGTTTTATTACCTCTTTTTCTATTCTTTTTTCCTTCTACTTTCCTTTTATTTCTTTTTTTTTCTCTTTTCTTTTCTTTTTATGGGGATACTAGAGAGAAACCCTTGCCATATTACATTTAACAATCAATGCTCTCTTTTAAGAACTTACTCCAACACTACTCTTTTCTCTTTCATTCCTAGAAAGAACCGAATACAATCCTCGTATGTAGAACCTCAATGGAACTCAAAAGTGAGAGCTCCGGGGCACAAGGACGACTCACGTATAGTACCAAAGAAAGGATGGGGGTCGTTATATCAAACACCATTAAGCTCCTCGGATTCCCCCTTTTTCTGTCAAAAAGACTGCGTTTCTAAGAAGATGTATACCTCTTCTAAGAGTCTAACGAGTGTTGCTTTGTATTCGATTAAATTATTTTAAACAACCAATACGATTAAATTATTTACCAAACAACCAATACGATTTATTTTTATGTGCACAAAAAGAATTTTATTAATTTCAAAAATTTGAATATGTATGTTTCTATTTAAATTATTATTCATTAACAATGTTATTTATGTTAATTAATTTAGTATGTTTGTTTTACGATAATATGTATGTACCTCTTTAAATTATTATTCATTTACAATGTTATTATGTTAATTAATTTAGGACGTTTGTTTTATGATAATATGATAATATGAAATGTCTTTTTATGATAATAAAATTCTGCTTGATGTCGCATAATTTAATTTAATTAATTTAGTTATAAGAAAAAAACCCTTACTAATATATAATAATTAACGTGTAAATTTTCGCTAGGAGGCACAAACAATAATCCGCTACAGGGGTACCACCAATGTGCTCCCATTCTACCCAGCTATCTTGCCCTTTCTCAAAAGGGCACGGTTAGACTCGATTAGGCATTTTAACGGCATCAAAGTCGATCGCCAACTCATCACCGCATTAGCCGAGAGATGGAGAAAGGAGACCCATTGTTTCAACTTTAGAGAAGGAGAGGCCACCATCACGCTAAAGGATGTCACCATCCTAACCCATCTGCCCATCGACGGCAAACCGGTGTGCGTGAGTGATTATCCCCCCGAGGATCGTGACGGTATGCCCGGTTGGGTTCATTTCATCCACAGTCATTTGGGAGTGAAAGTACCGGTGAAGGGTTGCGTTGATGCGACCGATCGCATGCCACCAATGAGGAAACACCTAGTCTCAATTACATGGTTGACGAAGTATTTTAGAGACCATTACGAGAGTCATCCCCCTAACCGAGGAAAGTCCGGAGGATGAGAAGGAGAGATATGCTCGTGTCTATCTCATAGGCATGATCGGAGGAGTGTTCTTCTCCAAGAAATCAAGCAATCTCCTTAGTTGTGGATGGCTTAGGATCATCTTCAGTAGTTGGGAGGAGATGGGGGAGTATAGTTGGGCATCTGCTTGCCTAGCTATGATCTACCACAACTTGTGCAATGCGTCTCTAAAAGCTGTGAGGGAGGTCAGCGGCGCAATGTTCATCGTCCAATTTTGGGCTTGGGAGCATATGCCATGGATTGCACCGGTCCAACGTCCAGACAGGGATTGGCCAATCGATCATCCCCTAAGAGGTGAAGCTTATGGTACAAGGTAAACTTCTCATACCCGATCATATAGTCATAACATATTTTCCCTTGTGTTTTATCTTATTGTAGTTTCATTATTGTCTTATTAATAAGGTGGCTCAGACACACCACATGCGACAACCTTGTCCAACACAAGTTGGACGAGTATCGGAGGAGGTTTGAGCGACTTTGGGAAGGAGAGGTAACTTCTATACTGCGATCCATTTATATTTTTTCCATGGGACTACATGTATTTTTCTAATTAATTAATCTTACGTTACTCATTTCTTTCTTGTAGATCGTCTTCGATCCATACCCGGAGAACATCGTTCATTGGCATCTCCAGCAATTCCCCGGTCATATCGGGCAATGGTGCACGAGGGTTCCTCTAATTTGTTTTGGGACCGTGGAGTGGCACTTGCCGGATCGATGCCTCCGTCAGTTTGGTCGGGAGCAGTGCATTCCGTTGGAGGTCCCCGATAGTCAAAGGGCCTTCCATGGCCGAGATGGTCGGCAAGGTACTCGCGATTGGCCCACGAAGTTGAAGGAATTCATCGCGATTTGGGAGAACCGACAATTACAGGATATTGTCACTCCAAATCAAGTGGGCTGAATGGGGTATCATGACCCATACTTGGATCGATATCGGCAAACATCGGTTCGTTACATGACTCCGGAGGGTGCGGCCGATGGTGCATTAGTAAGTATAATCAGTCTAAACATAGTATGATTTATTACTTGGTTCCTAAATCTCTTTCTAACTTTTTTTTTTTGTGATTTAGGCTGATGGGATCGAGCGGATCAAAGATATGACTACCGGAAGAACTGAGTTGGGCAATGAAGATGTGAGCTTCATCAGGAGGATGGCAAACAGTCTACTTGGCTGTATCAGAGCTCAGGGCCGGGATCATCGTAGATATCCGCCCGCGCCCGCACCCCCACCACCTCCGGTACAACTTGATGTCCCCGCACCCCCACCACCATACGAGAGAAAGAAGAGCAAGAGGGTTCGGGAAAGGCCCAACGTGCCCGAGGTAACGCCATATGGGGGGTGGAAAGTGCCGCCCCCATTGGTTGTGACACATGGTGCCGGACCAAGTTCCACCCAAGGTGTCGGACCGAGTTCCACCCAAGCTCCCCGCCCGACCTCCGCCCCATCTCCCCGCCCGTCTTCCGCCCAAGATCCCCACCCGACTTCATCCCAAGATCCCGGCCCGACTTCACCCCAAGAATTCCGCCCCACTTACCACAACGATCCCCACCCAAGCTCATACTACGATCCCCGCTCGACCTACCATCAATCCTCTCAGAGTTTCCACCAATCCCCATATGATCCAACCCCGATCTCATACAACGATCCCCGCCAAACATACTATGATTCCCGCCCAGTCTACCCCCCATCTCTTCACCAAACATACTACGATTCCCGCCCTATCAACCCCCCATCTCCCCACCAAACATCATCTGGGACTTGGCATGATGGCTCCTCCACGACAGGCCAACACGAGTTCAACCCATGGACTCGCCCTCATCAGCAGTGGCCTCCTACTCCTCACCGCATGAGCGCCGATGTCGCCCGGTCGACCCCGGAAGTGCGGCTTCCCCGCTGACATAGCACCGACGAGCGCATTACTACCTCGGACGTTCGAAACTTGCCACCCCAACCACCTGTTGTTACTCCCGTCGGCAAACGTACAAGGAGCAAGAAAACTGTGGGTTCCGGTGAAGCTCGTGGACTTCCTTGAGATGTATTTTGGGTTGATTTTTATTTCTATGTACTAGGAACTATTCCCTTTATTTTATTTTACTTAATTGAGTGTTGATCAATTTGTTATTATGACGATTCCTCTTCACTTGATATAATCCCAATTCGTTCAATCAACAATACACAATTAAATGCAACGTAAGAGTTACAACTAGCTTGAAGAATGATAATCGGAAATTATGTCGCATTAGCTGAGTCCGGTACATCAGCACCCAGATTTTGCGGACCAATCAGTCCTGGACACCTTCGTTTATCATGTCCTGGAACTTTGCATATTGAACATCGTCTTGGGCCTCGTGGTGGTCTTCCACTTTGATCCATTTCATTCTGAATTCTCTTTTTCCTCGGGGGACCCGGTTCACGCCTCTGTCCGAATGGCGGGACGATCAATTTCCCTTCGTACAGCGGCCAATAAGCTTCATCAGGCAATGCATGGAAACTCCGTCCATAGGTGTTTTTGAGTGAGTCGATATTGAAGAATGGACTAACGAAGTGACGGGGGTCTTTGCTCCTGTTTTTAATTACGGCCATTGCATGAGAACAAGGCCACCCTCTCCCCTGATACTTTTGGCATGAGCACTCACCAACTTTGGTCCTGAAATTGACCAAAACTTCATGACGGTGGCCCCCCCGTCTACCATCCTCCCGATGTCCGGTCGTCACGCTATACTCACCAGTTGCCCGATTCATAACGGCTACACTATGTCGACTGCTCTTGCGATTGTCATTATCCATTAATTCAGTGACTTTATAGGAATGGACCTTTCCCTGTGCCTCGTTCGTCCTTGCCCAGTGGAGGCGGTTCACGAACCATGCATTCGTTTTCCAAAAAGTCATTTCCACAATGGCAGAGATTGGCAGTGCACGAACGGCCTTGTAGACAGAGTTGATACTCTAACTTGAGTTGGTTGTGGCAATACCCCATCTTTTCCCTCCATCTTTATGAAATTTCCACATGGATAGATCGTGTCCATCCAGCCACTGTGCCCCTTCAGGGCATAACTCGCGCATCTTCTGCAACTTCTCCTGAAATTTTTTCTCCTGGTATGCAACCGCTGAATAACACACAAAAAAGTAGTACGTTAGTCAATGATCGTCAGTTTAGTACAATTTCAAACAACACGATCATACTCTCATTAGACTCTTAGGAGAGGTATACATCTCCTTAGAAACACAGCCTGTTTGACAGAAAAAGGGGGGATCCGAAGATCGCTTAAAACCTGATTTTCCCAGGAAATGGGAGGACCATGATAATCGCATAAAACCTCATTTCCTTAGGCATGCATCTCTTTACAAAGACTTGTCTATTTGCATCCGCCCCACTGGCAATCAGGAGAGTGCGCTTGTACTTGCCGGTAAGGAGTGTACCATCCACTTGGATCACAGGGAAACATAAGCCAAAACCATCAATAGATGGCTTGAATGCCCAAAACAGTCGGCTGAAATGGCGTTTGTTACCTAGCTCTGGGGGTTGTATCTCTTCATCTTGGTATCGAGGGGAGAAAACAGTGCCAGGGTTAGACGCCTCCAATGCCAGTATTAACCTGGGAAGGAATGCATATGATTCTTCCCAATCACCAAAGACGGCTAGAGCTTTCTGCTTTCCATGCCACGCCTTCTTATTGTTAATCATATAACCATAACGACTTGCAATGTCAGCGATTATGACTTTCACCTTCAGATCCGGTTCGGCCTCAATCAGATGCTTGATAGCCGCATCAACCACCCTGGATTTCAACTGTCGATGGCCTTGGGAAGTTATGGATGACACACATGTGTGTGTGTTCACCGCACGGGATATGACCCAGTGGCCGTGTCTCTTGCTGTTGATGGCCCGAATCCTAACATTGCACCCCTAGTGATGATTACGGCATCTGACTATGAGCCTTTTGGTGTTGGAATGAGCTGTGTGCCATTCAAAATGCCGAGTCATTGCTTCAGTCTCAATGGCGTGCCGCACCTCCTTCTTCGAGCCAAATTGTTGGCCCTTCGTAAACCCAGTGAGTGGGCCCCATATTGGGACCTCTGGCGGCTCCATGTCGCTGTCGACCATCCAATTGTCGTCTGGAATGCGATTGTAGTAGGGGACTGGTACACGGTCAGGAGCCACATCATGATCATTATCTGAATCTGACTCTGGCCCTGAATCATCAGCACCTTCAAGAGGGTCGGAGCTGTCTGCACTGACGTTGTTCTCCCCTTCTTCATCGGAGGGGTCGCTGACTTGTGCTGGCATAGCAGCTTCCATCTGATCCAGCTCATGAAAGGCACCTTCATCAGCTCCATAATGGTAGTTGTGAAAACTACCGCTGCCTGATTGGAAGTTGTACTGGGGTTGGTTGCCGAGGTCCGGTTGAACTTCTTCTTCATATGATGGGAAAGATTGATGATGGCCTTCACCTTGCTCTTGGTACTGAAAATAGGAATGAGGATCATGGTAACTTTGGTAGGGATGATCGCCATATAATTCACCTCCACCATGGATACCAGATGTTTGACCGTCTCCAGAATGACCTCCAACGCCAACGGCTGGCTCGGTGTAAACGAACATCTCGGCTTTGGCCAATTTGTTGGACCTCAAGAATTCGAGCATGGAATCTACTTCATCTTGAGTGGTTATGGTATATTCCTCATGCCACAATGACCCACTTTCTCTGTTTGGATATCGGTACACCATACGATCTACTCTTCTCGTGCCATCCATGCAAGTAACGTTACTGCATATTTGATAGAGGTCTTCAAGCTTCGGTCTGGTAGCGACCTTTATTTTCTAAAAATTGCCACCGACGTAGGTGGCCCCCTTTCCGGTCTCTTCCGTGTAACCATTCCACCGTAAGCCAAGCGTGAACTGGCGGAATGCCATCTGCACACAAAAAAACCGTGGTTCAGTTAATATCATAAAAATCACAAATCACAAATAACAATAAAAAGTAACACAAAATAAACTTACGAGTTAATGTTAATGGCAAAAACACTAAAGAAATATAGAGATACAACAGGATAATGAAAAGAGAGAAGGAGAGGTGTGAAGAGTAGAGGTTTTCCGGACAATCTTATATAGGCAAAAAAATGAGGAAAACCGCACCTCTAAGGTGCGGTTTTGGTCTGCCATGCAGCCCTACATCTATAATTCTGCATGGGTGATTGTCGGGTGTCGGAAAATAATTGACACACAGACCGCACCCCCCAAGTGCGGTCTGTGTGGCTAAACCGCACCTTAGATATGCGGTTTGGTTTTGGAGGATTGAACCGCATCTCTAAGGAGCGGTTTGCCTAGGTCAGGCCAAAACCGCACCTCGGCCATGCGTTTTGTGTAGGGCAGACGTGAAAACGCATGGCCAAGATGCGCTTTAGCCCCAGAAAAATGGACCGCACCCTACAGGTGCGGTTTATATAGAAAACGCACCTGGAGGATGCGGTTTATATATAAAACGCACCACAAGGGTGCG